AAAAAAAAAAAAAAAAAAAAACTGCCTGTAAACAATCACCTTGAGGCTGCAGGTAAAGAGTTGTGTTGATATAATCTGCCAAAACAATTGGGACCGCCCCCCCTCCGCCCCCCCCCAACGCCCCCTCGACTCGGTGATAACCTGCAAAACTTCGGCTCCACTCTCGCGGTCTCGCCACCGTCTCTTTGTTCGCGAGACTTCAACCAAAAGTCGGAACGCATGAAAAAAAATAAAAAATAAAAAGCCATTTCCGGTTATCATTGTGATAACGGGCAATTTTGATAACCGTCGAAATGACGTCACCCACCAGGAGACCGTGCTGCACTTGTGAGTTGAAGAGAGCACCTGGTGGCACCACGCGGGTGCAGGGCCGCTGTCTCAATATTACGGAGTGCACACGTGTCACTGAGAGCAGTGCATCAAACCCTAGAGATAAGCGCACATGTCGAAATTGTGCCATGCATCAAACCTAGAGATGAGCGCACATGTCGACATTGTGCAGTGCATCAAACCCTAGAGATGAATGCACATGTCAACATTGTGCAGTGCATCAAACCTAGAGATGAGCGCACATGTCGACATTGTGCAGTGCATCAAACATTAGAGATGATCGCACATGTCGACATTGTGCAGTGCATCAAACATTAGAGATGAACGCACATTTCGAAATTGTGCAGTGCACCAAACATTAGAGATGAGCGCACATGTCGACATTGTGCAGTGCATCAAACCCTATAATAGAAATGAGCGCACATGTCGACATTGTGCAGTGCATCAAACCCTAGAGATGAGCGCACATGTCGACATTGTGCAGTGCATCAAACAGTAGAGATGAGCGTACATGTCGACATTGTGCAGTCCATCAAACCCTGGAGATGAATGCACATTTCGACATTTGTGCAGTGCATCAAACATTAGAGATGATCGCACATGTCGACATTGTGCAGTGCATCAAACATTAGAGACGATCGCACATGTCGACATTGTGCAGTGCATCAAACATTAGAGATGATCGCACATGTCGACATTGTGGGTTAGTTCAAACATTCGTTTCTTTTGACTCTTTCAATGTGTTATTCGAAGACAGTTTATTTATTTTTTTTATTCATTTCTATATTAGTATGTCGACTTAAAATTTAATGCAATCTAAAGCCCAAGTTTCCAAAACGGAGTGATAGGGGGGGGGGGGGGGCCACGACCCCCAAATGGAGGACGTATTTTTTTTTTTTTTTGGGGTCTCCGGTTTAAATATTTAAGCTTAAATAACCACACAAAAAAATATAATTTTGCAGAAAGGTACACTTTTAAGTTATGCCATAATGCTGCTTCTACTTTTGGTGTGTTTTCTTAAACGCATTTTTAATAAAAATATATTGTTGAATGCACGGGGTCAATTAATTTTTTTTTTTTTTT